GGGAACGTCACTGTTAGAAAGAATGTACACTGGTACAGTCACAGTGGAGAACAGTATGGAGTTTCCTTAAAAAAAAAAGTAAACAAAAATAAATGGAAAACTTATCAAGTTTGACTATTAATAAATTCAAAGCTTATGAACAATGGATACATGTCACTATATGTTTCTACAGTGTCACAAACTGTACAACCCTGAAAGTGAACTATAAGGTAAACTATGGACCCTAAATACTTATGAAGTCACTATAGATTCATCAGTGGTAACAGAAGTACCCCTATGGTGGAGGAGGATGATAAAGAAGGAGGTTATATGTATGTGGGAATAAGAAGCATATGAAAATTTCTGTACCTTTCTCTGAATTTTGCTGTGAAACTAAACCTTCTCTAAAAGAAATCTTTAAACTTTAAAAAATACATCGTTATTGGGGCATACACACTTGATAGAATCTTTTTAAAAAGATTTAATGCTCTCAAATCATATTTAGAGAATGTATATGTTTCCCTTGTTTTATTTTTACCTCAATTAATGCACTTTATAGATGTGATAAAATATCAGGGAAAGAGTAGGGAGAGAACAAATTATAGCCACATAATTCTTTGATTTTTTTTTAATATTTATTTATTTGATTGAGTCAGGTCCTAGTTGTGGGAGCATGGGCTTAGTTGCCCTGTGGCATGTGGGATCCTAGTTCCCCGACCAGGGATGAAACCCATGTCCTCTGCTTTGCAAGGCAGATTCTTAACCCTTCGCCCACCATGGAAATCCCCCAAACAATTCTTAAAATATAGAAACACACATACAATAGGGCAGCAACAACAAAAAAACTCTCATCTTCAAATTCAGTTACAATGTGACTTATCACTTAATATTGATCACTACTTCCTCTGTGTATTATCAAATACACATTTACGGCATCATGTCCAAAGGCTTTGGTCCCTCCCCATTTCAATCCATCCTCCGTGACTGCCTTTGGTTCATTTTCAGAGAAAGCTGTGATGTAAATACCTTGGCGTCCCCAGGTCTCTAAAGATGGAGGCCCCCTCACCTACAGATAGGTGGTCACAACGCAAATCATTTTGGGAATGCCTCTGGCCCCAGGGGTCTTCCCAGTTAGCTCAGTGGTCAAGAATCCGCCTGCCATGTAGGAGACCCAGGAGACCCGGGATCGATCCCTGGGTCAGGAACATCCCCTGAAGAAGGGGGTGGCAACCCACGCCAGTATTCCTGCCTGGGAAACCCAAGGGCAGAGGAGCCTGGAGGGCTCTCATCCACGGGGTCGCAGAAGAGCGGGACACGGCTGAGCTACTGAGAAGGAAAGCACGTGGCCCCAGGGAGGGGAGGGGGAGACAGGACCCAGGACTCGGGGTAACTTTGGAAGATCTGGGAGAGCAAGCCTCACCCCGCCAAGGGCATCATGTGACTTTGTCCTCCACTCGCCTCCGCCTCCCCTTCCCCAAGCGCAGCTCCAGGCCACGGAGGACCGCCCCCAGGAGGAGGCCCTCCCGGGGCATCAGGCGGACGCAGCCGGCGTTCTCAGAGGTTCCAGCCCCGCGCCCTCACCGGCTCAGGGCTCCCAGGGGTGTTGTGTGCGATGGCTCCGGCTCAGAGCCACGGAAGACAGGTGTTACAGGAGCCGCGTCAGCGCCCACAGGGGCTTGTTCAGCGTGCCGGCTCACGGCTTCCCCTCAAACCGGCCAACTCACAACTCCTTAGACTGGGGAGGCGTTGTATCCACTTTAAGGCTGCAGAGAACATCTTCAGGGAAGCGGTTCTCATCTGGGGGCCCAGGAGGCCCCTCCTCGCAAACTCCGGCGCCTGGTCCCAGGGGAGCAGCCGCGCTGCTGTCTTCCGGCTCCCGGCGAGGCCCGGGCTGAACGCGGGGCTTCGGCGCATCTGCGAGGGCTCCGCGCCAGCTCCAGGCCCGGAGGGGCGGCGGGGTCTGCTGGGCCGGGGTCGGGAGGCGGACGCCGGTGCCGCTCACCGGTCCCGCGCGGGCGGAATCCGGGAAGCGAACACGTGTGGACGCAAAGGAGGGCTTGACGGTGCGTCTCCGGGAGGAGCTGATCGTCCCGAGTCCCTCCTGAGACGAGGACAGGAGAGGTGGGCCTTCTCGGCTTTTCAAGCGCCTTCTGCCTGCGGGCGTGTGGGGAGCAGGCGAAGGCGCCCTGCTGACGCCTTGGAAGGTGTAATCTCAGCACGCTGAGTGATTCTTCCCCATGGCCTTGAGGAGAAAACGACCCAGGGCAGGAGGAAAAGAGGAGGAAATGGCCGCGTCTCGGGTAAACGTCTGTCCTGGGTCAGAGGCTACGCCTGCTTTTCCTCCTGAAATGCCCTGCATTAACAGTTTATAAACCTTTCATTCTCTACTTCTGATGTTGCCTACTGAGGTGGTTTTCAACTGCTAAATTTTCTCCGCCTCTTATTCTGATGATGGTCAAGATCAGAGCTTTAGAATGTTTCTCCCTCATGTCCCAGAGCCTTTTCTCAGATGTCTCTCTGCATCAAGGCTGCCTGGAGAACTTGAAGCATCCTCACCGAGAATTAATGACTTTCCTTGTGGCTAAGAATCCTCCTGCCAACGCAGGGGACACGGGTTCCATGCCCGGCCATTAAGATCCCACGGCCGCGGAGCAGCTAAGCCCGTGCCCACAAGTACTGAGCCTGCGCTCTGGAGCCCTGGAGCTGCAACTACTTAAGTGTGTGCCCTGGAGCCCGCGCTGCACACGAGAGAAGCCCCCGCAGTGAGAAGCCTGTGCACCACACCTAGAGAAAAGCCCGCACAGCAAGAGAGACCCAGCATAGCCGGAAATAAATGAATGAATAAATCAAAATAGAAGGACCTGGGATTTAGGAGGACGGCTGGTTATAAGGGCTGCTAGGGAAGACCTATGAGGAATTTACATTTGCTTATGAATTTGCAGGCTGTTATCTAGCACGTGTGCTTATGTGAATAACTGGTGTCAAAGCAAGGCACGTGCAGGCCACCAGTCTACACAAATGATGCTAAGGCAGCAATGTTATGGTCAGTGTAAGTAACTCTCATCAATACTCCTGTGCAATCCATATTGTAACCATCATAATGTCCCAGTAGTTAAAAACGAGAAAATGATGCACTGTACCATTTATGGAAAATATGGTCTCAAGTTATTTGAGGGTTATGGCCAGTAGAAAAAGAGGAGTTACTATGAGATGTCATTCTGCGTGCATCCTAAGTCACTTCAGACGTGTCCAACTCTTTGTGACCACATGGACTGTAGCCTGCCAGACTTCTCTGTCCGTGGGATTCTCCAGGCAAGAATACTGGAATGGGTTGCCCTGCTCTCTTCCAGGGGATCTTCCAGACCCAGGGATCGAACCAGTGTCTCTTATGTCTCTGGCATTGGCAGACAAATTCTTTACCACTAGCACTACCTGGGAGGCCCCATGAGATGTCTTCCTACTGTGTTACAGATGCTTTGTATTTACCATCAGTTAGTGACGACTTAAAAAAAACCCAAGGGGATGCTAATGCTTGTATCAATGTTAACATTGGTGGTGGAATACATGTGTGCATGCTCAGTTGTGTCTGACTCTTTGCAGCCCCATGGACTGGAGCCCACCAGCCTCTTCTGTCAATGGGATTTCCCATGGCAAAAATATTGGAGTGGGTTGCCATTTCCTTCTCCAGGAGATCTTCCTGACCCAGGGATCAAACCTACATCTCCTGTGTCTCCTGCATTGGCAGGCAGGTTCTTTACCACTGAACCACCTGGAAGCTTGTTACTGATAAGAACACTTCATCAATTATACATCAAGTTTAATATATGAAAAGCCATTCACTTTTATTAATTAACTTATAGTAAGTTCACACATAATCTAAATAAAACTTTCCAAAGTTTATAATCTTTGATCAAAATACAGATTACAAGCATTTGGGAACATTCTTGTTCTTCTGATACAATGGTCAGAGAAATGTGATATTTATGGTTTACAAAACAGAGAGAGCCATAATTTAGTAAACAAGGATGTACATTAATTACATGACATTTCAGGAAAAGGTTACATAGATTTTTCTTGGGTATCTGTGAAGATTTCCTGATTGCTACCATGTCAACTAAAATTCATGACTTCTAGTTATTGCTGTTATAAACATATGTCAAGATTTCAGTGAACTGCCATCTTTATATCCATAAAAAACCATTGGCACACCTATTTAAAATTTAGACTCTCTTACTTTAATACAAAGAGTTATTCTCTGAACACTTACCTAATGGTGACATAGAGGGATGTTTTAAACAATGACAGTCATCACCTTCATTTAGACTTCCACTATACATTTCACATTACAAGATCCTTAATAGTCCATAAAAAAGTAGATAAAAATTGTTTCCACCTAATATATAAGGGTCTTGTTTAACTTTGAGGCAGCAAAGATCAAGAATATTAGTTTTTAAAAAAGCATATTAGTTCACATACACACTAGAAACAAAGGTTTAGCCTGTAGTAATTTGAAAGTTGAGTTATATTAAATTTTATTTTCACATAATATCAATATGAACAAGGATAAAATGATAATAATTATATTGTACAACATCTCTCACCTTGATCCTATGATCCAAGTAACAAATAATTTTTCTAAGTGTTTTAACTATGGATTATTTCCTATAATATCCTGCTTAAAGTAATACCAGAAAAGGGTTATTGACTGAATGTTATCTTTGATGAATTCTCTGATATTTATTTAGACCTGAGTTTTTAAATTCATTTTGTACATTTCTCACAGCATTAAACATTCTTCCCAGTATGAACCCTCTGGCATTTTCTGATGTGTATGCTTAGGACAAACCTCTTTCATCACTTATTACATTTGTAGGGTCTCTCTCCAGCACACACTCTCTGATGCTGAGTGAGGTGACGGTTCACTTCAAGACTCTGTCACATTATTTATATTTGTAAGACTACTTGGCACTATGAATTATTTTACGGCAAGTAAGGTTTCAGTGTCAGTTAAAAGCTTTGCCTCATTCTTTACATTTGTATGGTTTCTCCCCAGTATGAATTCGCCTATGTTTATTAAGGTTTGAACTCTGATTAAAGGCTTTGCCACATTCTGTACATTTATAAGGCTTCTCTCTTGTATGAATTCGCTGATGTTGAGTAAATGTTGAGTTGTGATTAAAGGCTTTGCCACATTCTGTACATTTATAAGGCTTCTCTCTCGTATGAATTCGCTGATGTTGAGTAAGTGTTGAGTTGTGATTAAAGGCTTTGCCACATTCTGTACATTTATAAGGCTTCTCTCCTGTATGAATTCGCTGATGTTGAGTAAGTGTTGAGTTGTGATTAAAGGCTTTGCCACATTCTGTACATTTATAAGGCTTCTCCCCAGTATGGATTCGCTGATGTCGAGTAAGTGCCGTACTTTGGTTAAAAGCTTTCCCACAATTCTGACATTTATATGGCTTCTCCCCAGTATGGATTCGCTGATGTTGAGTAAGTGCCGTACTTTGGTTAAAGGCTTTCCCACAATTCTGACATTTATATGGTTTTTCCCCAGTATGGATTCGCCTATGTTGATTAAGGTTTGAATTCCGAGTAAAGGCTTTGCCACATTCTGTACATTTGTAAGTCTTCTCTGCAGTATGAGTTCTGAGATGTCGAGTAAGGTTTGAGGGCTTGCTAAAGGTTTTGCCACATTCTCTGCATTGGTTAGGTTTCCCTTCAGTATGGGTTTTCCTGTGTCCATTTAGATTTGATAATTGAGGAAAGACTTTCCCACATTTATTCCATTTGCAGTGTTCCCCCTTAGCATGAATACTCGGATGTTGAGTAAGTTGTGATGACTGGTTGGAAACTTGACCACATTCACTAAATTTGTAATTGTTTTCTTCAGTGTGGATATTCCTATCTGTAATAAGATTTGGGCTTTGATAAAAGATATTTCTACATTCATCCCTTTCATCGTGGTTCTCTGAACATTGAGTTTTCTGATGATTCATGAGACCTGAGTCTTGGTCAAAGTGATTCCCAGGTTCTAGGCATGGGTAGATTCTGGCTCCATCATAAATACTGTTGTAATAACTGAAGATGGAGTTCTCGCTTAAGGCCTCACTCATTGGATTACACATGGAAGGTTGTTCCGCATTATCTGTACTATGATACCTATTGAATGACGGAGGCCAGATAAAGATTCTCTCATTATTATCGACATTACAGACATTGGAATAGGGAGAAAATGTTTGTTGGTGGAAAAATAATGAGCCCTCACTAAAGGATCTCTCAAGTTGATCATAGTGAGATTTTCTTCCTTCATTTTCAAATCTCTGGCTTTCAGACATGTATGACTGACTGTTTAATTCAAACCTATGTTCATACTGGCTTGAGTGATTATTTGTAGCATACACTAGATGACTTTCCATGTTTTCAAAATTTCACACCAGGGAATATGTATTTTTTTAAAATCATATGGGTCCTTGCTTACAAAAACATATTTTTCTGCCGAACTTATTGACTTCAAATGGGATTTTTCCCAGTTTGACACATATCCTCAATTTCTTTTGGCAATCATGTTTTCATCATGGATAATTGTCCCGATTTGGTTACATCTAAAAGAACATCTTTTTGCCCTTCACAGGCCCCCTTACTTTCCCAGTCTTTCATTAAGTACGGATTTCCAAGCTGAGAGCTCTCAGAACTTCCCAGCACCTCACACATGAATCTCCTATGCACGGCTTCTTTGGGAACAAACCCTGGGTGTCATGAGAAGATATCGCTGAAAGATAACAAATAACCGAGATCACACTTAAGTATTTTGAGTGAATATGCTTTACAGTTGTATGGAATACTGACAAACCCTTAGCTAGATTAATAAGAGGTGAGATGCAAATAAGATCAGAAGTAAAAACAACGGCCCTGTACATGTTACATAGAACAAAAAGTAATTCTATCAGGTTACAATGAATGATACTATACCCAAGAGTTGAATACCTCAAAGAAAGATTCAATTCTTGGAAACACAGAACACCTTAGACGTTAGCATGAGTGAATTAAAAAATTATAACACACCTTAAACTATTAGTAAAGAGTAAAAAAGTAATTAAAAAAATCCCTGGAGTAGATAAATTAACTGGAAAATTTCAGCAACCTTTCAAGAAAAATAAATATCAATTCTCCATAAAGGATCATCATGTACACACTACTATATTTAAAATGGATAGCCAACAAGTTCCAACTGTACTGCAGAGGGAACTCTGTTCAATCTCATGTGGCTGCCTGGATGGGAGGGGAATCTGGGGGAGAATGGACACATGTACATGGATGGCTGAGTCACTCTGCTGCCCACAACATTGTTAATCGGTTATACTCCAGTACAAAATAAAAGAACACTAAAAAATATTTCTGTGAGTTAAGAGATATATTAAATGGTTTTAGCAGTGATGAGTTGGGGTAAATGCACTTAAAATGTCTAAAATTTGCTCATAGGAAGTAAAAATTGGGAGGTAGAAATTGGGGATTACATTTTATGATCTCAGGGACTGAGTCTGAACTTCGGAGAGCCATGTTTGAAGTTTCCATTGGAAACTGGAAAGCAGGAAGCATATATCTGTTCCCAGTATTTCTGGAATTTTGTCAACTAATCCCAGCATCTCCACAACTCTCCTCACACGTTTCTGACTTGAGGCAGAGTCAGGAATTTGGAAAGGCCTTAAGGCAGACTTTATCAGAACTGTGAGCAGCCTTTCTTAGGTCCCCCAAAGCAGCGAGAGTGTGCAGGTCCCCAGAGGCCAGGAGGAAGGTTTTGGCTCTCAGTGAAAGCGAGGGGAAACCACTGGAGCTGAAGAAGAACACACGGAGGTTTAAGAGCAGAAGAACGGGGACGGTCATGTCCCTCTTTGACAGAAATAAACCCAGGCTTCTCACTCTAGTGAAGCAGGCCTCCCCAAACCACCTGAACAAGCCTGGCTTCCTCGGTGGTCTTTGACCCCTCACCTGTGTCATCTGCTTCATTCATTCACACCTAGCACTGGGATTCTTCCTTTACTCCAAAGGGGACCTGTTCATTAGAAAAATGAATATAATTAGGACTTTGGGTTTAACATATACACTCTAGTATGTACAAAAACAACCAAGAAGGATCTGCTGTGTAGCCCAGGGAACTATTCTCAACATTTGTAATAACCCATAAGGGAAAGGTGTCTGACTTGACTAATGAAAGCCTCTCCTTACAAAACTCGGTATCTCTCCTGAACACAACTCAGTGCTCATATTTCAGAGCCAACGAGCAGCAAAGAGACACTAGGAGGAAATGGAGTTTCCACCTTAACTGTGTTGGATTGTGCACCCCCCTCACTACGTCTTGCCAAGATTTTAGTAAAGATAAACAGAAAAAAATGGAACTTTATGGTGTGAGAATCTAGCAGAAAACACCCGAATCGGTGACCATCAGGTATAATGGGATAAACTGGTGTCAGGTGAGAGAAACACTCCAGAACACATGGTCTCTGCTCAGGTACTTTCGGCAAAATTAAGGAAATCTCAATGTATCTTGAGAAAATTTCAGTTGTATGCATTTTTACTCCAAAAATACCTCCCCTGTTCTGTATCCCTAATAGCACATTTAAACAATAGACCTTTCTTACCAATGTAGAGAATAGTCAGATTTTTTTCAAAAGTCTCTAAGGAATTCTAGACTGTGAGGAAAGCTGAGCACCAAAAAATTGATGCTTTTGAACTGTGGTGTTGGAGAAGACTCCTGAGAGTCCCTTGGACTGCAAGGAGATCCACCCAGTCCATCCTGAAGGAGATCAGTCCTGGGTGTTCATTGGAAGGACTGATGCTGAAGCTGAAACTCCAATACTTTGGCCACCTCATGAGAAGAGTTGACTCATTGGAAAAGACCCTGATGCTGGGAGAGATTGGGGGCAGGAGGAGAAGGAGATGACAGAGGATGAAATGGATGGATGGTGTCACCGACTCGATGGGCATGAGTTTGAGTAAACTCCGAGAGTTGGCCATGGACAGGGAGGCCTGGCGTGCTGTGTTTCACGGGGTTGCAAAGAGTTGGACACAACTGAGCGACTACACTGAACTGAACAGTCGCTCAGTCGTGTCTGACTCTTTGGGACCCCACCCCATCCCAAGGGGAATTCTGCATATCAATGCGTTCCCTTGTTGATCCTTCCCAAAGGGAATATTTTGAAAAACTGAAAGCTGTTAATTCCCGCTGGGAATGCTTCATGCCCTGTAGGGAGCCTGGAGGCAGAAAAGAAGAAGAGGCCCATGCAGAGAGAAGAGCCGGATTGTGACTCATAAAATAAAAGAAAAAATAGGATTTAATAGTTGAAAACCACCTCGCCAGGCAAGAATATCAGAAAAAGAGAATTAAAGATGTGTATGTTTTCAATCCAGGGCATTTAAGGAGGAAAAAGCAGACACAGCCTCTCACCTGGATCAGGACATTCACCTGAGAAGCTGCCATTCCCTCCTCTTCTTCCTCCTGCCCTGGGTCGTTTTCGCATCACGACTGTGGAGGAATCACCTCAGCATCGTGAGATTACACCTCCAGAGGTGCCAGCACAGCTCCTTCGCCTGCTCCCAACACCCCCACAGGCAGAAGGACCTTGAAAAGCGAGAAAGGCCGACCTCTCCTGTGCTTCGTCTCAGGAGAGATGCAGGACAATCAGCTCCACCGTGGAGACCAATCTATCAAATTGTTGTTGTTGTCGTCTACTCTTCTGTCTTCATATAAATTCCCCCAAATTGTGCTCACACGGTGTGTGGGCTGCACTGACTTCCCCTTTAAAGCGCTTGCAGAGCAGAACCTGCGGCCTCTCCGCAGACTGACGCCCGGCCTCAGCTCTCACAGACGGACCAGGAGCCGCGCCCTTAACCCGGGCCTCAGCTCTCACAGACGGACCAGGAGCCGCGCCCTTAACCCGGGCCTCCCCTTAGAATCCCCTGGAGCACATCCTGCACACCACACTGATGCTCCCACAGGACCGAGAGAGAACTCTGTGGGGAGGGGGCCGGGGAGGTCATTTCCTAACGCTGGTCACGTGACCCTGATGGTAAACAGATGGAAACCACTTGGCCAATGGTTCAGATTCTTTCTGAACCATTTCAGTGACTATGAACCCCTCGAGGTCAGGGCCCCACTCTAAGAAGTTATGAATCTGCAGGTCTGAGGTGGGTTCATTAAATACGTCTTTAGCATGTTCTCTGTTCTGATATTTCTCCCCCAAGACCCACACTCAGGAGCCCTGAGCTTCAGCCCTCACACCCAGCACAGCTGAGAGCTCTCAGAAGGGGAGGGTTTAGGGTGGGAATTTCTGAGGGAGGTCAGGCTAGAACCAGGCAGAGGAAGCTGCAGTACTTGGGGTTCAGGCCTTTCTAAGTGACCTGGGTGAAGTGCTGTGGGTTCCCCAGGCTGAGTGTGGATGGGTCCATTCAAACCAGGGGAGCAGGATTCTGGTGAGCTCTGAGGGTGTCCGTGAAGGGGGGCCTGTGCAGTAGACTCTGGGGTTCAGCAAGACTGCTGGTCTCAAGGAAGGGGGTCATCTAGGGCAGGTGCTCACAGGACTGGCTGGTGTGAGTTCAAGGACCTGCAGGCTGCCTGCTCCCCAGACAGACGCTGAGGCAGCAACAGTATGGAGCAGTTCCGGGGAGCTCTCAACAGTACTCCGTGTGATCCTTCTTATTAGAGCCGTCACCATGCCCCAGCAGTTACGGGGGCGCAGGGGAAGGTACATGTAGAAATGATGGAAAATATATTATCACATTATTTGAGGGTTAAGGGTAGTAAGGTAACTAATTGTTACAGATGCTATCCTCTGTGCTACCTAATAGTTTATTGTTACGATCTCTCCCCCGAAACCTTAAAGAAAGTGGGAGAGGTTAATGTTGACGGTGGGTAACACTTCATTCATTACACATCAACTTTATCGCCAGAAACCATTCAATTTTAATTAACACATATGAATATAACACATAGTCATAATAAAACCTTTTACAATCCACTGCGTGACCTTAATTAAAATACAGATTTACAAACATAGACAACAATATTCATTTCTCTGATACAATGATCTGAGAATTGTGACTTCTGTGGTTACAATTACAAAATAGAGGC